TGCTCTTACCCCTCCAGCCCCCACTACCCTCACCATAGTGCTGTTTTTAAAATAGATAATAAATGCTCCGGCCGCAGCTCACCATCATTGGTCCTAACACGGGGCTCAAGTGCAGCATGCTCTACTGAGTAAAACTGTTTGATAGAGCTGGGCGGTGGTGGCGCACGCCTTTAATCCCAGCACTCGGAAGGCAGAGGCAGGCGGATTTCTGAGTTCGAGGCCAGCCTGGTCTACAGAGTGAGTTCCAGGACAGCCAGGGCTACAAGAGAAACCCTGTCTCGAAAAACCTAAAAAAAGAAAAAAACTGTTTGATAGCCTCCCAGTTCTTCAGGGGACTACAAAACACAATTACAGTGTTAACATATGTGTATTTTGTCTCCTGTTTTTCCTACTAAGATAGGTTCATTACCCAAGGTCATTGGCTAAAACATAACATTCTTTAAAGGGCAATTTTTAAATTTGTTTATTTACCTATTGTATGCTTTGTATGTTTGTGGGTGCCTTTGTCCAGTGGTGTACATGTGGAGTTCAGGGAACAATTTTATGGAATCAGTTCTCTATTTCTACCTTGCGGGTTCTGGGAATCCAATTCATATAGTTACACTGGGCAGCAGGTGCCTGCAGAACCATCTAGTCAGCCCAAAAAGACATTTTGGGGTGTGTGTGTGTGTGTGTCTGTGTGTGTGTATGTGTGTGTGTGTAGTTCAATTCGGAAGACAACTGAATTGAATTGAGTTGTGTCTTTCTTTCTACCATGTGGGCCCCAGAGACTGAACTCAGGTTACCAGGCTACAGTGCTGTACTCACCATGTGATGGCTAACATTATGTTAGTGGCTAACTTTATGCTTAAAAGTTGAAAATATCTGTGCTTAGGTGACCTAAAAAGCAACATTAGACCTCTAAATGTCAAGGGCTGTTAGAGTTAATTTTTTTTTAACTGTTTCTACTTCTGTAAACAAGTTTGCTTTACACAAGAGGACCTTCTGCTTGCAACTTAGTGTTCTTTGCCTTTATAAAGCCCACTTAGGTGGCTGGATGCTGCATTCAGGAATCCTGAGTTCTGGGTGTAGTAGGCTTGATACTACTATCTGTTTTTTGTTTTTTTTTTTTTTTTGGTTTTTCGAGACAAGGTTTCTCTGTGTAGCCCGGGCTGTCCTGGAACTCACTCTGTAGACCAGGCTGGCCTCGAACTCAGAAATCCTCCTGCCTCTGCCTCCCAAGTGCTGGGATTAAAGGCGTGCGCCACCACCGCCCGGCCCTTGATACTACTATCTGAATAAAAGCCTTTTCTTTGTTAAAGTTGATTAATGATCGGACTGGTGATCTCTACATGACACCAGACCCATGAAAACTGAGCCCTCTCAGAGACTGCCCTAAACTCCAAAAATGAGACTTTAAAGAAATCCAAGCAGCAACCAGGCATGATGGTACACACATTTTATCCTAGCATTTTAGAAAGCAGAAGCATGTAGGTCTCTGTGAGTTCCAGGCCAGGCAGGCTGCATAATGAGACCTAGACTTAAAAAAAAAAAAAAAATCCAAGCAGATGTCATCTGCCTTCAACAGCATTGTAGTTTAACAATGCATAAATTGCTATGTTGTCATAAATATAATTTGGATTATACTAGAATAAGTTGATACATTTGTTTATATGTTGCTTTGTCTCATGATTTTTTTCTTTGTTTATTTTTGCCACCTTCACCATCACAGGCTTCATCTTAAAGACAGACTTTCCTATAGTCAAACAAGATTCTATCCTAAAGGATTTTTCCAAAATAGAAAATGAAAGACACTCAGCACTGAACTGACTCCTGGTCAGAGGTTTCAGTGTTTCACTTTCTGGGTGTTTTGGGTTGGTGTTTGGTATCTTTGTTTTTGAGACAGAGTCTCTTTGTGTAACTTGGGTTGCCCTGGAACTTGCTATGTAGATCAGCCCAGCCTTGAACTCTGCCTGCCTTCTGACTTCTGAGTGCTGTTATTAAAGTCCTATGCTACCATGGCAGACCAACTTTGTTCTCTCTCTCTCTCTCTCTCTCTCTCTCTCTCTCTCTCTCTCTCTCTCTCTGTGTGTGTGTGTGTGTGTGTGTGTGTGTGTGTGTGTGTGTGTGTGTGTGT